CTGGTCCTCTTATCCATCCATTCCCTGGGGCTCCCCCGGGACCCCAACCTCCCTGCCCTCCACCCCCCAGGGCCCTTCCTACACCCCCTTGTCCCGCCCCCGGCCCAGGGACTCGCTTATCTCCCTGCCCTTTGGGTTGTGGGTTTGTCTCCCCCAAAGGGAGCCGCTGGTTTCCCCTCCCAGCCTGTCCATGGGTAGAGGGAGGGCTCCCCGATTACCCCGTCTGGGGGGGGTCTCCTCTGGACTTGGGGCTCTCATCGCCTGGCCAGCAGGGGCTCCCCTGGTTGGGGGGGGGCATTCGCCATCTGCTGAGTTCGGGGACCCCCTTGGGAGCCTGGGGCAGGAGCTGGGAAGCCCAGGGGCCGTGTCTTACCCTGCACTCTCCTCTCCCCTCAGGGGACACCTCGGTCCTCGCCGGCCTGTACGGCCCAGCGGAGGTGAAAGTCAGCAAGGAGCTGTACGACAAGGCCACTGTGGAAGTGCTGCTCAAACCCAAAGTGGGGCTCCCGGGTAAGCGAGGGCGGAGCCGTGGGCGTTGTCTGTGGTAAAGGGGGGCGCTGGCCGGGGTCGGGGGGGGCCTCACGGGCAGTAGCCAGGATTACACCTCGAACAAAAGCTTGGAGGCTATTTAAAAACAAAGCCAATCACTGTATCCTTCAACCTCCGCCTCCCCCGCTTACTCGCTGTTTAAAATGAACCCTACAATAACAAGAGATTGTTATTAGCATGCTGAGTACGGGGCTCGCCAGCAACCCTACCATAACAATCTCCCTGCCGTGACAAAGCAGCATAGAGAGCTTGGGCCTGGCGGGGGAATTCTGCCACGATCCGATACCCCCCCGGCACGTCCGGCCCCAGCTTCCGTGAGCTCCAATCGCCCGGCGTGGCCATGCGGCCCCCGTTGAGACCCCGTGAGGGGAGATGGCTGGGCGTGCCCTCGTCCCTGAACCCAGCGTGGGTTTACAAGGTGGGGGCGGTTGGAGCCCGTCGCCCTCTGGGATTCGGATCACGGGGCTGCAGCTCGGGTCGTGCCGTCTCCACGGCGGACGGAGGGTTGGACGGGCCTTGGGTCGAGTCCCTGCAGGTCGGTGCCGCGTGTGTGCAGTGGGGTAACAGTCCTGCCCTGCGCTGTGTGTGTGTAAATCCACTGCCGATTGTGAGGTGCTGCCCCGCTCTGGGGATGGCGGCCAGATAAGAACCATGGGTGGATGGGGAGACGCGTGCAGTGGGGGGAATGAATGGAGGGATATGTGCAGGCGGGTGTGGAGGGACGGACGAAGGGGGGGGTGTGGCTGGACAGACAGACAGAATAGCTTGACATAAAGCCGTGTAACCTCCTAAACACTCCCCTCCCGGCTGGGTGAAGTTTCCCTGTTGTGTCACAGCCGTGGCGGTGTTAACCCCGGGCCGGGCTCTCCCCTGCAGCGGGGCCCCCCGGATCCCAGCTCCACGCACGGTTCGCATCTCTCCCGGGTTCTGGATCTCGATTCCCAGGGGCGCTTCCGCAGCAAATAATGAAATTAAGAACAAAGGGAGGGTTTTCCTCTGCTGAAATGGTGACGGTTCTCAGCTTTGTCGCACTGACGCTTGCTGGAGAAACAGCCTTGTGCAGCCAGAGCCACCCGGCAGGCGTGGGGTCGGGCGGACTGTCGCCGGGGCAGGACTCTCCCTCAGTAGAGGAGATGAAGGGAGGAGAATTCTCCCTCACTTTTCAGCTGGGGAGACTGAGGCAAGCTGTGGGCGCCCGGTGGGGCGGCTGTGGGGACAGCACCCGGCAGGCGAGGGGCACTGATCGCAGCTGGGGGGCTTTGGGGCAGTGCCTGGCACGCCGGGGGTACATCTGCGTTGGGAAGTCTGTGCGCTGGCGTCCTACAGGCAGATGGCTCATGGGGGAGAGCGCGGTGCCGAAGAGGAGCTGGTCTTGTGGGGTGGAGGGTGGCTGGGGGGTTTGTCCAGCTCCCGGCTCAGCCCGGCCCCCCGTCTCTCCTTCCCCCAGGTGTCTTCGAGAAGAACCGGGAGCAGCTGATCAGGAAGACGTGTGAGGCGGTTATCCTGGGCGCCCTGCACCCCCGAACCTCCATCTCCATCGTGCTGCAGGTGATCAGCGACGCGGGCGCCGTATCCTTCACCGGCAGCCCAGCCGGGGGCGCTCTCCAGCGGGGACCCCCCTGCTCCTCTGGCCTGAGCCCGACGGAACTACTGCCTGTCGCCTCTAGGGGCAGCAGCGCTGTGGCAGTGGCTGTCCTGGGTATTGGTCTCCCATCGGGCACTGGGCTGGGGCTGCCTGCTCGACTGAACCCGCCGGGGGGATGGCAGCCTGGGGTCCCGTCCCCCCCAGCCCTGCTGGTGCCCTCACTCCCGACCCGCACGCCCCTGCCACGCCCACGCCCCTCGCCCCCCCCACGCCCTCGCCGGTCGCCC